GATGCTTTCACCCGGCTTAACCAAAATGATGCAGTAATAGGCCCGGCTAATGATGGAGGGTATTATCTCTTGGGTCTGTCGCGCAAGGTGAATATCTTTGCTGATATTAAGTGGAGTACGGAAAGTGTTTTTGATGAAACCGTTTCGCAAATAAAGAAACACCACTTATCATACTACGTATTGCCTGAAAAAACAGATCTTGACACGATAGAAGATCTACAAAAATTCCCCAGTCTATGATCCAGAAACTTGAAGAAGCCACCGCCTTTTTAAAGCGTAGAGGATATGATAAGCCTGATGTGGGAGTGGTACTGGGTACCGGCCTGGGCAAACTCATAGATAAGATGGAGGTAAAAGAATCCATCAATTATAAAAACATACCGCATTTTCCCGTAGCTACAATGGAGTACCATTCCGGCAATCTGATATGTGGTGAGGTTAATGGTAAAAAAGTAGTGGCCATGCAGGGGCGTTTTCATTTTTATGAAGGCTATTCTATGCAGGAAATTACCTTTCCCATACGAGTGATGAAAATGCTGGGTGTTCAGAACCTTCTGCTCTCCAATGCTGCAGGAGGTGTAAATCTGGAATACAGAAAGGGCGATCTTGTTATTATTGAAGACCATATTAACCTTCAACCGATTAACCCTTTGACCGGGCCCAACCTGGAGGTATTAGGACCTCGCTTTCCTGACATGAGCCAGCCCTATAAAAAAGATCTGATTCAAAAGCTAAAGACCATTGCCGGAGAGCAGCTTATCCCTCTGCGCGAAGGTGTGTATGCCTCCGTAGCCGGACCTAATCTGGAAACCCGTGCGGAATACCGTTACCTGAAAATAATAGGGGCTGATATGGTAGGTATGAGTACTGTTCCTGAGGTGATCATTGCTAATCACATGAACCTTCCGTGCCTTGCGGTGTCTGTAATTACAGACGAATGTGATCCTGATAACCTGCAACCCGTCAATATCGAAGAGATTATTGCTGTAGCTGGCAAGGCTGACGATAAACTAAGCAGCCTTTTTGTAGAATTGATACACAGCCTTTAGGCCGGGGTTGCGGAATCACGATCTGAAACCGCAAACCATGAAAAGAGTAATACTTATTGTTATTATGAGCGTGCTGCTGGGTACAGGCGCTTTTTTGTTGGTAAAATACCAGGAAGCCGAAGAAGAGCCTTATGGTACTTTTTTACTTCCCCGTCTGGAGTGGAGCCGGTTTGTATTTAAGGAAATAAGTGCTGAAAAAACCACCATGGATTTTGCCATGATACTGGACAACCCAATGCCATTAGGCTTTAGGGTAGATAGTTTTTCCTACGAAGTGAGTATTTCTGATTACACCGTTTTTAAAGATACCTATCCCCGCTCTATTAATTTTGAAGGTAATGACAGTAGTTTTATCATGCTTCCGGTTACCATGTACAATGATACACTGACATACGTATTAGACAGCCTTGATATGGCCGGGGTAGATTCGGCAAACTACGGCATAAAAGGTCACTTTTATGTGAATATACCGGTGGTTGACGAAAGGAAGTTTGAATACGATCAAACATTCAGAGCTCCACTTTATAAAATACCCGCTACCGTTATAAAAGATTGGCGCATAGAGAAGTTGAGGTTTAAAGAAAGTCAATTGGTGTTTGATCTTGAAATACAAAATGAAAACGTATTTCCATACGAGTTTAAGCATATGGACTATAAAATTGACTTGGGTAATGAAATGGTGTTTGATGGCGCCATATACGATGAAATACGCATAGGGGCTAAAGATACCGCCATTATAAATATGCCGGTAAACATCGATAATTCCGAACTCTTCAGCGCTTTAATGGAATACCTGAGAAAAGGAGATGATATTTCGTATAACTTTTGGTCTCGCATTGAGTTGGTGGGTGAAAGTAATTCCATTCGCAATAGCCCTATGATCTTGAAGGCCACGGGAAACCTTTCTGAATTTAAAGATTTATAAAAATCGCCATGAAAACCACGTATGATATTATTGTAATAGGTGCCGGATCCGGAGGTTTAGGCGTGGGTATTGGTATGGCTCAGTTTGGCTTTAAGGTATTGATGATCGATAAGGATAAGGCTAATTTTGGCGGAGAATGTTTGAATTCCGGCTGTATTCCCAGTAAAGCTCTTATCCATATTACCGACATTCTGAAAAAGGCAAAGGATAGTGAGGCTTATGGTCTTACTGTGTCCGGAAAACCAGACATCCGGAAAATATTGGATTATGTACACAGCCGGCAAGAGATTATCAGGCAACACGAAAGTGCGGAGTACTTGCAGAAAGAAGAAGGTATTGATGTGCTTATAGGAGAAGCCTCTTTTTCCGGTAAACACTCCGTTCAGGTAAACGGAACCGAATATACCTGCAAAAAGATATTGGTGGCCACTGGCAGCAAACCCCGTAAGCTTGAAGCTAAAGGTTTGGAGAGCATGAAGGTATATACCAATGAAAACCTCTTTGATATCGATTTTATTCCCGAAAACTTCCTGCTTATAGGCGGAGGGCCAATTGGTTTGGAAATGAGCCAGTGTTTTGCACGAATGGGGTCACAGGTAACCGTGTTGGAGAAGAGTGACCGTATTATGAAGAAGGAGTTGCCGGAGGTTTCACACCTTGTGCAGGAACGGCTGGCTCTTGAAGGTATAACATTTAAGCTGGAGCATGAACTGGTGGAATTCCGTGCAGGAAAAACAGCAGTGTTAAAGAATAAGGCAGGAGAGGAAATTGAAATTCCCTGCGATGCTGTTTTAGTGGGTATAGGCCGGGAGATTAAATATGATGCCCTTAAGCTGGAAAAAGCCGGAGTGCAATTAGATGATAAAGGTTGGCCGGTGCTGGACGATTATCTGCGGGCCAAAGGCAATACAAGTATTGTATTTGCGGGTGATGCAGCGCATAACGTTTTATTTAGTCATGGGGCAGAGTTGCACACCACCCTTTTGCTGACCAACTTTTTCACACCCTGGCCCTTCAAGAAAAAATTGAATCTGGATAATTTTAGCTGGTGCACCTTTACCGATCCTGAGGTAGCCACTTTTGGATTGTCTGAAGACGAAATAAAAAAGCGGGGCATAAATTACGAGAAAGTAGACTTTAGTCTGGCCAGTGATGATCGTGCCATTGCTTCAGATTACCGTTACGGTAAACTGATCTTATTTCTGAAGAAAAACCGTTGGAAACCCCGAAATGGAAAAGTGCTGGGAGGTACTGTTGTAGCCCCGGCAGCCGGTGAGATGGTGCAGGAGCTCATTATGGCCAAACAACAGGGTTTGGGAGCCGGAGCCATGTTCAATAAAATTTATCCTTACCCCACGCAAACCCGGGCACATAAAGTAGCACTGGTTGAAAAGTTCAGCGGGGGTATCTCACCTGGTATTCAGAAAATATTACGCTTTTTGTACCATTAATTGAGACGGCTTTTAAGCGCCCTTACAGCCTGTTGATCTGCATAAGTCCAGGAAGCCAGGCTGCGCTTGTTTCGCTTTTCAAGGTAATTCCCGGTGCGCCACTCCAGTGATTCTTTAAATTCCTCTATGGTTTTAAAGTTGATCCAGGTAACCTTATTCTTCTGGTGTCCCTTGATCTGTTCTGCAATACGATCCAGGTTTTCATACACCAACGGGTACACCTGTGGGTCCAGATCCAGGTAGTAATCCACATCAATTTCATTGATATTGCCATGCGTCAGGTTATGCTCTAAAATGATACGGTTCCAGGGGAGTAAAGCGGAAATGCCTAAAATTCCCGCAACAAATAAGGTGTTTACACGCAGTACAAACGCACTGTTATACCTGTAGCGGATTTTCCACGCCAAAGACCCCAGTCCAAATAATACAATGCTTAAGAAAAGTAAAACACCTATGCGGCCGGGAGCCAGTCCGTGAAAACCGGTGTAATAAAGGGTACGCAATACCACAGAAAAGGCCAGGATAACATTCTGGAAGATCCAGAAATAGGTTAAAGCCTTTACACGGTAATTATCTTGATAGAAGTTCAGGTTTCCCCGGAAATAGAAGAGGATCAGACTCATGGAAACCAAAAGAGTAAAGATCAGCCAGCCTACACCTTCGTGTACAAAACCTTTAAGACTAAACTCTGCCGGCACGTAAAACTGGAACCAGACCCAGCGGATATCAATAATATTCACCACAAGGAATAATACATTCAATAATATCAACAATATAAAAGCGGTGAGATACTCATGTTTTAAACCCATGTTACGAAAGGTTTTGCGACTGCCTGTTTTACGCTGTAACGGATTATAAGCTTTTAACCGAATGCTTTGTATCCAGTTGGAGCGTAGTGCCCACCGTGTTATGATAATGCCTAATAGAATGAAAAAAGCATATTCTGCAGACCAATTTTTGAAGAGATGGCCAATGGATGAGAAAAACTGTTCGCCCCACGCATTAAATATGGAGTTGCCTGCGGAAAACAGCATGATATACATGATAAAAATAATCAGGGGAATAATGCTCAGGCGTAAGTACAAAGCACCTTTGCTTTTAGGTGTATGGACGGGCAGAGCCAAGCCGGGTATGACACCCTGGCGTGGGTTAAAAAGGTTTAAAATACCATTGGTAAAACCCTCCAGTACTGAGGCGTGTTTAAGCTGAAAACTTCCGCAAGTGGCCAGCGCAAGTAAAACAAATAATGTGTTGCTAAACAAAGTGTTTAGCCAAACCACTGCTGTGGCATTGGCCAGGGTTAAAGCCAGCAGGTAATAGTGAATGGGTTTGAGCTTCAAAGGTCGGTTTTTAAGGTAAGCCACGCTGAGCAATATAAATCCGAAAGTAACCAGATTAAGACCCATGGCCTCTTGCCAGAATAGAAGATGGTAGCTCCAAAGGAAGCCCGTAAAAGAAACAATAGAACGCATAGCAGGTACGTATAGGTTTGAAAAACAAAGCTTAAACGCAGAATGAATATTAATTATTCTGCATTTAAGCTAAGAGTCCTGCTTTTTTATGCAGTTGGTAATATTAACGGGCCAAATAACCTCCGTCTACCGGGTAATAAGAGCCACAAACAAAGGATGCTTTTTCACTCGCCAGCCAAAGCACCAGCTCTGCCACTTCACCAGGTTTACCCAGGCGACCAATGGCATGCAAGCCTTCCAGTTGCTTCAGCTGCTCATCTTCCAGGTTTTTATCCAGCAAGGGAGTCCTGATAAAACCAGGCCCTACCGCGTTTACACGTATACCTTCTGCAGAGTATTCAAGGGCGGCATTTTCGGTAAGACCTATCACACCATGTTTGGCGGCTGTATAGGCACAGCTTCCTTCAAAACCCACGCGGCCCAGGATAGACGCAATATTTACAATAGCACCTCCACCGGCCTTTAGCATGGCGGGTATCTGGTAGCGCATGCCATAAAATACCCCGGATAGATTTACACCTATTACTTTATCCCAGCTTTCCGGAGGGTATTCGCCCACGGGTGCTTGTTCACCGCTTATACCGGCATTATTTACAGCAATGTGTAAATCACCAAAAGCTTTTTGGGCTTCGGCAACTGCTTTTTCATTATCCTCCGCTTTACCAGAGTCTGCTTTAATAAAAATGGCCTCGTACGCTTGTTTTTTCAATTCAGCCGTAACACGGTTACCGTTTTTTTCGTCTACATCAGTTAAAACCAAACGCGCTCCATTGGCACCAAAAAGATGCGCTATACTTTCACCAATACCTGAACCGGCACCGGTTATAAGGGCTGTTTTGTTTTCTAAAAGTTTCATCTCAAAAGTTTTAAAAGTTTCTATATGGATCTAACCATTTGAGATAGGTAAGGTTGTGGAATGGCCCCTGAAAAGAAAAAGCGGCCGTATGTGCCGCTTTTAAATAATTTTAAAAAGGTATGTGAATCATGATTTAACCCTTTTTATGGAGCAACCGATCTGGCGGGTCTCTGCGGGATCAATCGCTTTACCGGATACCATGGCGTTAATAGCATCATTCAAATACATTTTATCCGCACTATCCTTGCGGTCTTCGTATTTGTTATTGATAGATCCACGATATACCAGCTTCATATCCTTATCAAACAGATAAACGTGAGGTGTGGTTTTAGCACCAAAGGCATCAGCCAGTTCATGGTTGTTATCTAACACATAAGGGGTGTTGTAACCAGCTTCCTTATAATGCTCTTTCATAGCTTCAAAAGAATCATCATTACTGCGCTTGGCCTCGTTACTGTTTACCAGCACCATACCAATATTTTTTTCTTTGGTGAGCTCACCCAAGCCAGGGTATGTGTCTTCCCAACCTATTACAAACGGACAGGTGTTACAGGAGAAAACCACCAATAGGCCATTGTCTTTTTTGAGATCTTTTAGTGCATAAGATTTGCCTGATACATCTTTCATTTTCACATTGTTCATCGGGGCTTTTTCTCCTATGTTCAACGTATTATCGCCTTTAAATGCAAAGGTTACCGCTGCTATAAGCGCCAGGCCTGCCAGGCCTGTTATTTTCTTTTTCATGATTTAAGAGTTTTAGTTTAAGCTGCACTAAGATATCAAATAATGGTTTGGATAAGGTGCGGAGTCATTACTATATACTGCTTAAGACCCAACTTAGCCCGATAAGTTTAATCACAAATTAAAATAGTACGGCCGCCAGAGCTTAGCACCTCAACAGCCTTGTTTTAAAGCTAACGAAAAACGGCAGCCGTGAGCTGCCGTTTGAGGGAAAAACAAATTGATCCTCCAGGATCAGGGCTTGAACTGTATTTTTACCACATCACCACCTTCCGGATCTTGCAACAGATAAAGGCCTTCAGCAGTTAAGGGAAGTTTGAGCAACCCGTTTTGTAAGCTTGGTGCAGCTATGATTTTGCCGGTGATGTCCCGGATAAGGATTTGCTGATCATCTTTTAATCCATCAATTTGAATCTGGCTGGCAGCAGGATTGGGATATACTGTAAAGGGTTTTACAGAGCTTTGTTCATTAATGCCGATGGTGGCATCACGAAGCTCTCCATAGGTGCTGTTGGGAATAGCATCTGAAGGACCGGAACTGCTGATGTCAAAACCCCCGCAAAAACCGATGAGGTTCAGATCATAGTTCCCACCAATATCAGCCAAGGCTATCCTGAACACCGAATAGTGGGGATCTACAGTATCCAACTCAAAATCAAGAGTGATGAGGTTACCGGTTGATCCTTCGCGCGCCTCTGTAAACACCCCCGGAAAGAAGCCGTTCTGGTAAGCCAAAAGCAGAATATCATAATTCATAGATGTGTTGGGAGAATTGTTCTTGATGTTGGTTTGGTTCACCGCTCTGCCGTCTGCTGTGTTCAGGTTGGTATCAATGGCCAGGGCAAAACCAAAGTCACTATTGCGAAGGTTGTTATGTGTGATCTTCACATAGAGAGAATCGTTGCCGGGAGAAATCCCATAGGAGAGCTCCGTTACATCAAGACCGAAGGAATAATCGTCACCCGTTATATCGGTACCAATGGAAAAATAGGATTGACCAAAGGTCAAAGTAGAAAGGGACAAAGCCCCAAAAAGTAATAGCTTTTTCATTAAAACAGGTTTTAGTTCATTCCATAGATGTAAAAAAGCCCGCATAGGTTGCGGGCTTCTCAATTCTTTCTGCAATGTTCCTCTTTAAGGGAGATATTTAATGTCTTTAAAATCGGGTTTACGCTTTTCCAAAAAAGCATTTCTTCCTTCTTTAGCCTCCTCCGTCATATAGGCCAGGCGTGTGGCTTCACCGGCAAATACCTGTTGGCCTACCATACCGTCATCAGTAAGATTGAAGGCAAATTTCAGCATCTTAATTGAGGTAGGTGATTTGGCCAGTATTTCTTGTGCCCATTGATAAGCAGTGTCTTCCAGCTCATTATGCGGTATTACTGCGTTTACCATTCCCATGTCATAAGCTTCCTGGGCTGAATAGTTGCGGCCTAAAAAGAAGATCTCACGGGCGCGTTTTTGCCCCACCATCTTGGCGAGATAAGCTGAACCATAACCACCGTCAAAGCTGGTTACATCGGCATCGGTTTGTTTGAAAATAGCGTGTTCCTTGCTGGCCAGGGTAAGGTCACAAACCACGTGCAGGCTGTGGCCGCCACCTACGGCCCAGCCGGGTACCACGGCAATAACCGCCTTGCTCATAAAGCGGATCAGGCGTTGTACTTCCAGGATATTAAGGCGTGGCATGCCTGCCTCATCCACGTAACCCTGGTGACCACGGGCGTTCTGATCGCCACCGCTGCAAAAAGAGTATACTCCGTCTTTGGTGGACGGTCCTTCAGCGGATAATAGCACCACACCAATGGAGGTGTCTTCACGCGCATCCAGCAAAGCTTCGTAAAGCTCAGCTACAGTTTTTGGGCGAAAAGCATTGCGCACGTTAGGGCGGTTAAAGGCTACACGGGCTACTGCTCCTGACTTTTTATAGGTAATATCTTCGTATTCCTTTACGGTTTTCCAGTTGGCACTCATTTCTTATATAATTCTTAAAGTGGAATATTCCCATGTTTTTTCCTGGGCAGTTTATCAGCTTTATTCTCCAGCATTTTAAAGGCACGGATCAGCTTTTCGCGGGTCTGGTCGGGGCGGATCACTTCATCTATATAGCCACGTGCTGCTGCGCGGTAAGGGTTGGCAAAGATGTGGGCGTACTCCTGCTCTTTTTCCTTAAGCTTAGCTTCATGGTCATCTGCTTCTTTGATCTCTTTCTTAAAGATGATCTCAGCCGCACCCTTAGCTCCCATCACCGCAATTTCGGCCGATGGCCAGGCGTAGTTCATATCCGCGCCAATGTGCTTGGAGTTCATTACGTCATAAGCGCCACCGTAGGCCTTACGTGTAATTACGGTAATACGGGGTACAGTAGCCTCACTAAAGGCATAGAGCAATTTGGCTCCGTTAGTAATAATAGCGTTCCACTCCTGGTCGGTACCGGGTAAGAAGCCGGGCACATCTTCAAATACCAGCAGTGGGATATTAAAACAGTCGCAAAAACGCACAAAACGAGCTCCTTTAGTAGAAGAGTCTATATCGAGTACTCCGGCCAGGTAGGCGGGTTGATTGGCTACAATACCGATGGAACGGCCACCGATGCGGGCAAAACCTACCACAATATTCCCGGCAAAATCTTTATGTACTTCATAAAAGCTATTCTCGTCAACGGTACCTTCAATTACCTCACGAATGTCATAAGGCTGGTTGGGATTATCGGGAATAATATCGTTCAGAGCGGTCCGGGTTTCATCGGCAGCCTTGTATTCCAGTTGTGGAGGTTCTTCCTCACAATTTTGCGGAACATAGCTCAATAAGCGCTTAACACCCTCAATACAAGCAATTTCGTTCTCATACGTAAAATGCGTAACGCCTGATTTTGTAGCGTGGGCAGTGGCTCCGCCCAGTTCTTCAGAGCTTACCTCTTCATGGGTAACCGTTTTTACCACGTTAGGTCCGGTCACAAACATATAAGAGGTTTTTTCCACCATCATTATAAAGTCGGTGAGGGCTGGAGAGTATACCGCACCTCCGGCACATGGTCCCATAATAGCTGAGAATTGCGGGATGACACCACTGGCTAAAGTGTTGCGGTAAAAAATATCGGCATAGCCACCCAGTGAAACCACACCCTCCTGTATACGCGCACCACCTGAATCATTAAGGCCAATTACCGGTGCTCCGTTCTTCATGGCCAGATCCATGATCTTACAAATTTTTTCTGCGTGGGCCTCAGCCAGTGATCCGCCAAGAACGGTAAAGTCTTGTGCAAAAACGTAGGTAAGTCTGCCATGTACGGTACCATAACCGGTAACTACACCATCTCCTAATATCTTTTGTTTATCCAACCCAAAATCGGTGCTGCGGTGTGTAACCAACATACCGATCTCCTCAAAGCTGCCTTCGTCCATCAGGAAGTGGATGCGCTCACGGGCGGTAAGCTTTCCTTTGCTATGTTGCGCTTCAACACGCTTTTCGCCCCCACCCAATTGGGCCTGGGCCATTTTGTCTTCGAGTTTTTTAATTTTTTCCTGCATCCGACTGGTTTAGAATTATCAATAATGGGTGCTTGTTATTTGAGGGCGCCAAGTTAGGACATTATGCTTTTTTCTCAGTCATCTTCGCTTTGTAATGCGATTTCCAACTCATCGGTCATCTCCAGATTGTGAAAAACGTTCTGCACATCGTCATCTTCTTCAAAGCGATCAATGGCTTCCAATATCTTTCTGGCCTCATCTAATTTAAGGGTAACGGTTGAATTGGGAATACGTTCCAGTTCAGAACTGCGGGTTTCAATACCCAGGTTTTCCAGTTTATTCTGAAAAGGGCCAAAATCTTCAAATGCCGTGGTGATCACCCATAGCTCCTCGGTTTTTTCCACCTCCTCAGCTCCGGCTTCTATAAGCTGTAATTCCAGTTCTTCGCGGTTGCGTTCACCCAGTTCCTTGCGGCTAAGGGTGAAAACTCCTTTATGATCAAAAATAAACTCCAGAGAACCATTCGTGCCCAGGCTTCCACCGGAACGGTTGAATACAGACCGCACATTGGCCACTGTGCGCTGGATGTTACCGGTTGAGGCTTCCACAAATACAGCTACACCATGCGGCAGGTAACCTTCATAACTTACGTTTTCATAATTTTCGGAGTCAGCTCCGGATGCTTTATGAATAGCACGTTTTATAGTATCTTTAGGAATATTGGCCCCTTTAGCATTCTGTATAGCCAGGCGTAATTTAGGGTTGGTGTCGGGATCAGTGTCATTACCCTCCTTAACCGCAATATGTATTTCTTTGAGAATGCGGGTAAAGACTTTGGCCCGCTTTTTATCCTGTGCACCTTTTCGGTGTTTGATATTCGCCCATTTACTGTGGCCTGCCATAGTTTTATTTTTTGGTAAATGGTAAAATAAGGATTTAAAAACGGATCTGAAAATGGGACAGAGGTTCAAGAAAAAACCGCCTGAAGAGGCGGTTTATAAGTCAAAAGCATTTAAAATTCAAGGATTTTAGTCTTTCCTTTCAGATCTTTCTCCTTGATGTCTGTGGCGGCCGCGTGTGCGTTCTTTCATTTTGCTTCGCTCTTCCTTATATATCTTGTACTGATCTTCAGTAAGGATCTCCTGCATATCAGCATCATGTTGTTCTCCGGCTGCCTGCATTTCTTCACGATTCTCTTTTTTGGTTTGAGCAAGACGAAGGTTACTCTGGTAAAGCTTTTCTTTCTGATCCGCGTTTAAACCCAATTTATCCACCATCTTTTCGGTCATCCTGGTGGCCATTTCTTCGGGGTTTCTGTCTTTGCCACGTTTTTCCTGGGCAAAGGCTCCACTACCAATAACTGCTACTAACAGAAGGCTCAACAAAAATTTCATGTTCATCTTTTTGTGTATTTATTTGGTACTATGACCAAGCCCTCTGCCAAAGGTTTAATTCTGACGGGTAAGCGTAATAAGAGCAGTAACTTCTACGGTGCCCAGGATGGGTACAGAATAAGGAATAACGGTTTGAAAAACCTGGAGGTCGGCCTCGTTCTTCATTACTTTAAAGGTGGTGGTTTCCTCACCAGATTTCAGGTAAATAGCAGAATTGTCTGAAGCTACCGTCCAGGTGCCACTGGCTTGCTGAGATACAGGTGCATCAAAAGATCCACCGGTAAGTGGGTTCGGAATGCTGGCGGTAAAGGAATAATCGTAAGACACCTGATTGGGGTCTTTAATAATATTGAACTCTCCGGATACATTGGTGCCATTGTCTTCTACCGGTATGGGTGCACCACCACCAAAATCAGGAATTTCGGTTTCGTAGTAGATGGCGGTTAAGTCCCAACTGCCAACCAACTTATCTTCGTAACTAAGAGGTGTATTGGTTTGTGTACTGCTGCTTTTATCCTTTTTACATGCGACCAGGCTAAGGCCCAGAAAGGCTATGATCCAGATTTTTTTCATGATTATGCTTCGTTCAGGTTATTGATGCTAAGATACATCTCTTAACGAAAATACTACGTCAGGAATTTCATCAGGGTTGGTTAGCAGGTGAAAAATTTTATCGGCTACCTTTTCCGGGCTGGCCAGCTCACCATTGTCTTTATAGTCTACAAAGCGTTGCTTATCCGGAAAATCCTGTTCCTGAACCCTCCGGATCTCACCCTGCATTTCCGTATCTACAATGCCGGGAGCAATGGCCATACATTTTACATCCGGATGATCAGCTTGTAGCACCTGGGTAAAGAGATTGATACCGGCTTTGGAAGCACAATAAGAACTCCAGCTGGATACGGGATAGGCGCCAGCCCCTGATGATATATTCACCACCATGCGTTCTTGTCCGGTTTGTTGGGTTTGGTCTATAAACATCTTGCTCAATACCGATGGGGCCAGCAGGTTGATGTCATAGGCACGTTTAAAGCTATCCGGATTTATCTTGGAGGCGGGCTTTACCTCGCCTAACCAGCCCGCATTATTTACCAATATGAGCTTTTCGGCTTCCCTGTTGCGGTTAAAATTTATTTTAAGGTAGCTGTTCATATCCGCCAGGTCATAATTGAGGTGGTGATAGTTTTCATGATTTATTATATGCCTGCGGCTGATGCCGGTTACCTTGTGCCCTTCCTTCAGGGCTTTAAGCGCCAGGGCTTTTCCTATTCCTGAGCTGCTGCCGGTAATAAAAAACTGGATCATAACTGTGAGGGGTCTTAAATTAAAAAAGCCTTCCCGATGAAGGAAGGCCTAAGATAATTAAAGTGCGTTAAGCGCCTGATCAAGATCGGCTTTGAGGTCGTCAATATCCTCAATACCCACGCTGAGGCGGATGAGGGAATCCACTACACCGGTTTTTTCACGTTCCTCTTTGGGGATGGAAGCGTGGGTCATGCTGGCGGGATGCCCGGCCAGTGATTCCACACCGCCCAGTGATTCCGCAAGGGTAAATACCCGGAGAGCCGAAACCACTTTTACGGTGTCTTCCAAAGTGCCGCTTTTTACGGTAAACGAGATCATACCACCAAAGTCTTTCATCTGCGCTTTGGCAATGGCGTGATTGGGGTGATCTTCAAAACCGGGCCAGTATACTTTATCCACTTTGGCGTGTCCTTTCAGGAAGTGGGCAATGGCGGTTCCGTTCTCGCAATGGCGCTGCATACGAACGTGCAGGGTTTTAATACCGCGTAATACCAGGAAAGAATCCATGGGGCCACAAACGGCACCGCTGGAGTTCTGGATGTAGTACAGTTTATCCGCCAGTTCTTTATCCTTAACGGCCAGTAAACCCAGCACCACATCAGAATGACCACCCAGGTATTTGGTGGCGGAGTGCATCACGATATCCGCACCCAAATCTAGCGGGCGCTGCAGGTAAGGCGTAGCAAAGGTGTTGTCTACCACCAAAATAGCGTTGTGTTTTTTGGCGATCGCGCTGATGCCCTTGATGTCGTTAATGTTCATCATGGGGTTCGTAGGTGTTTCCACCCATATCAGGCGCGTATTATCGTTTACCATTTCATGGATGGAATTGGCATCCTCCATAGCCATAAAGTGGAACTTAATACCCAGGGGTTCAAAAATGGTGCGGAACAAACGGTAGGTGCCACCATAAAGATCATTGGTGGAAACCACTTCGTCACCGGGCTTCAGCATTTTGATAATTGCATCAATGGCGGCCAGCCCGCTGCCAAAGGCCATTCCGTATTTACCACCTTCAATGGAGGCAATACTGTTTTCCAACGCGTGGCGGGTTGGGTTTCCTGAACGGGAATACTCATAGCCTTTATGCCCTCCGGGCTCGGACTGGGCATAAGTGGACGTTTGATAAATGGGAGGCATTACCGATCCGTAAGCGGCATCGGGCTCTTGTCCTCCGTGTATAGTAAGGGTATTGAATTTCAGGTCTTTTGAGTGCTCAGACATACATTTTGCTTTTTAAGAAGGCCAAAGTTATAAATAGTAGGATGGTGGCAAAGAAAACAAGTTGACAGAATGAGTTCAAATGATATTGAGCTAGCTTTGCGGCTTAAACGCAGCCCTTGGTACCTAAGGAGAAACTAACGGCCCACCTGGCCTTGTTGGCGGTGGCCCTTATTTACGGACTTAACTATTCCATTGCCAAAGATGTAATGCCGGCTTACATCACACCGCTAACTTTCATACTGGTACGCGCCATTGGCGCTACTTCATTATTCTGGCTCACCGCCAGGATCTTCCATTGGGAAAAAGTAAAGCGCAAAGACCTTGGGCGGATGGCCCTTTGCGGGGTGTTTGGCGTAGCTTGTAATCAAATGTTCTTTTTTGAAGGGCTCAATCTTACCACTCCCATCAGTGCCGCAGTTATTATGACCGCCAACCCCATACTGGTGCTGGTCATGTCGGCTATCCTACTTAAGGAATCATTGCGGCCCAGCCGGATAGTGGGTATTGTGCTGGGCATTGCCGGTGCACTTTTCCTGATCACCCGGGGCGGACAGGTTGCGGATATTATGGATTCGGATAAATCACTGGGCAACCTGCTGGTATTGCTCAATGCAGCCTCTTACGCGGCTTACCTGGTGCTGGTAAAACCACTGATGCGTAAATATGAGGCCATCACCGTTATCCGTTGGGTGTTCCTCTTTGGTTTGATCATGGTGCTACCCTTTGGGTGGCCTCATTTTGGAGATATCCAATGGGCGCAAATGCCGGTAAATATTATATGGAAAGTAGGTTTTGTGGTGATATGCACCACTTACATGGCCTATCTCTTGAATGTTTTTGCGCTTAAAACGGTGACTTCAACCACGGTAAGTTTTTATATTTACCTGCAACCTCTCTTTGCAGCACTCGCGGCCATTGCCCTGGGAAAAGACGAAATTACCTTGATACTTTGCCTTTCGGCCCTGCTTTTATTTGCAGGAGTATATCTGGTTTCGTTTTACAAGCGCTGACTTTTATACTTTTGCCAGCTTATGAGTTCAATTTATTCCATGACAGGCTTTGGTAAGGCCGTAGTGCAACTGCCCGCCAAAAAGATCACCCTTGAGGTGAAAAGTCTGAATAGCAAACAAACCGATATCAATATGCGGATGCCCACTCTTTTTCGCGAAAAAGAAGGGGAGATACGGCAGATGACTGCAGAGGCGCTGCAAAGGGGTAAGATCGATATCAACCTGTATTGTGAGATCACCGGGGTAGAGCAAGCCCCAAGTATTAACCGCGAACTGGTAACAGCATACATTGATCAGCTAAAGGATATATCCGATAAGGCCGGAGTTCAGGGCGACATTCTAAATGCCGTTATGAGTCTGCCGGATGTGTTGCAGCCCGCCAATGATACCATTACCGAGGAAGAATGGAAAGCGGTACAGGAAGTTACGCAAAAGGCCCTTACACAACTGATAGAATTCCGCAGTATTGAGGGCAGGAAACTGGAAGACGACCTGCGTGACCGCCTGACGAGTATTGAAACGAGGATGAGTGGTATGTCTGACCACGATAGTGAACGGACACAACGCATAAAGGATAAATTGCAGCGCAGCCTCACGGAGTTAAAAGAGAGCCCGGATGAGAACCGCTTTGAGCAGGAATTGATCTATTACCTTGAAAAGCTGGATATTACCGAAGAGCGTGTGCGCCTGAAAAGTCACCTGGATTACTTTACCGCCCTTTTGAATGAAGGAGGAGGCATCGGCAAAAAGCTGGGTTTTATAAGCCAGGAAATGGGCCGCGAAATAAACACTATGGGCTCTAAAGCCAACCATGCGGCTATGCAGAAACTGGTGGTGGAAATGAAAGACGAGCTGGAAAAAATTAAAGAACAGGTTTTAAATATTCTTTAAACTGATAATCAGTATTATAGTTTTATGACCAACTCCGGTAAAGTCATCATATTTTCAGCGCCCAGCGGATCGGGTAAA